TGCCGCACATGTCTTTTTCAGGGCATGAAAACTAAAAGTTCAGCATTTGGGTGCTTGCTCAAATCTGAAGGATCTTCAAGAAGTTGATTGCTGTAATATTAAGTTAGTCACATGTCGCTGAGAAATGGTTGTTTCATGGTAAGCATTTTCCCTCCCTTCTTGTAGGAATGAGGAAGATTGCCACCAAAAGAGTTGTCAAGCATGGGAACAGGCTTGCCAGGGAAGTGGTTGAGTGTGTAAATGTGGCACCTGGGGACATGGTTTAGTTGTGGAGTTTGGCAGTGTTAGGTTTACAGTTGGACTCGATCTTAAGGGTCTTTTCCAGCCTAAATGATTCAGTGATTCTAAATAAAAGATAATATGTGTGGTTACTTTGCCTGACCCCCCCAATGGTTCTCATTCAGAGACTGAGTGTCACCTTGTCTTATCTCCTTTTCCCTAGATGGATCCCTGCTCTTTCAGCAAGTGCCAATGGTGGAGATTGATGGCATGAAGATGGTGCAGACCAGAGCCATTGCCAATTACATAGCAACAAAGTACAACCTCTACGGGAAGGACCTGAAGGAGAGAGCCCTGTACTGTAACAGTACCACGTTTTCTTGTTAGACCGCAGTTCATGCTACATCTCTGTGTAACACAGGAATATCCCAGCTCACAGCTAAATTCAGGGTGATAGAGCAGTGCTTCATGCAGCACGTGTTGACTGTGACTGCAGGTGATGTCTAGGGCAGTGATATCCAGCTTGATTGGATGGGCAGCATGGTGCAAGGCTGCTCATGAATCATCAATCCAAGGTCAAGACAGTTATCAGAAGAAAGCAGTCAGGAGTGCAGACTGTCTTACTCTTGCTCCTCTTCAGTTTTTTCTGCAGAATGTCACAGCAGGCATTTTCAGCACGTCAGACTCAGGGACATGTGTTTGATGGGAACAAAAAACCTCCTCCTTCTAATAGCCAGGAATTAGAGTAGAATTAGCATTAGTAACTGGTTATTTAACAACAGGACTCTTAGGGCACATGGTTTGACCGGAGGTCTTTTTAAATGCTTCAAATTAATAAGTACTGGTAAACAAATGTCAAGATATTTGTTAGGAATTGTATAGACCCACTGTTTAACTTACTAGGTCTGATTGGATTTTTAACACAAGTTTGGATGACACACCTATTTTGTTCTCAGGTTCAGAAAAAACATAGTACAGAGAAGTATCACCCCTAGTGAGAAGTGGAAGGGGGACAGTGTTTAGGTTTGGGTTAGGCACTTTGCATTTGTCTTTCACCCAGGCGCCTCCTCTATCCCTTAATGCAACTGCATTCTGGAGGGAACTACTCCAAGCTATAGATGTGAGATAGAAAAGGTGGAGATTTCCTACGACCCTCAGCGGGGTTAATGCCAGTAGCTATTGTGGCATTCAGACCTACTGTGTTTGACTTGACCAACTGGATCTATTCCTTTCAGAATCGACATGTATGTGGAAGGAATATTCGATCTGAATGAGTTATTCATGAACTATGAAATCCAACCAGCAGATAAGAAGGAGCAACATTTTGCTAATATGATGGACAAGGCCACAAACAGATACTTCCCAGCCTTTGAGAAGGTATGTGGCAAAGATGTTGTAGCTTCATCGATACTGTTCTCCTGAAACTCCATCCTGAATCTGCACCAACAATTTTTATTGAGGAAAACACTTAGAGATACTGCTCTGGTTTTGATGGGGCTGGGATGAGGATGGAGACAGGACACTACAGAGGGGACAGAAGGCACTACAGATCTGGGAGATGTGCAAAGCTGCAAAAACCCAGGACATGCTGAGCTTTACAAAGGTCCATGTTTCAGTCTGTATGTTGTTTCATACAAAAGAAACTATTGCATCAGCTTTTACGTAAAGTTTCCTCGTGAAGTGCAGATGCCCCTCTACCATACAATCTATGTAAAAGCATTACAGCTCCTTCTGTATCTCATGAAGCTTAGCATTCAATGCAGCAGCATCGACTACTTAAGCTACAGAAGTGAAGAAAAGAGGAGTACAGCTGAGCTGACAGAAAGAAACACAGAAAAGAAGGGACTGATTAATCATGCCTAGGAAGATCAGAGCATTTGTTTGTACTACAGGTGTTTGTACTGCATTTCCTTCTTTCAAGGACAACTCTGTGCAATGTATGACCTTGCGTTGAAGATATCATATTAAGTAACAGATAAAAAAAATCATCTGGTTCTGTGTTTTTAGGTTTTGAAAGACCATGGACAAGACTTTCTTGTTGGCAACCAGTTAAGCAGGGCAGATGTGCAGTTACTTGACATCATTTTAATGGCAGAAGAGTTCAAACCTGGTATACTTGCCAAATTTCCTCTCTTGCAGGTAAATGAATGGAGAGTTTTAATGGGCAATGCATTGGAAAGGACCACTGATTTAAACTGGCTGAAAAACAGGGGAGAGTGGGAGGGTGAGGAGAGAAGTGACATACAAAATAACCAAATCTGCTAAGTACTTTTAGCTGGCCTCAAATACTGATGGTTATTGCCAGCTTCTGTCTTTGCAGCCACAAAAGCATAATAGAGGGAACCATGTAGTTTCTTCTGCAGCATCAACACATAATGTTGCTTTTAGAGCATGGATAACATCAAAATGTCTGACAGTTACAATGCTTCTTAAGCACAGTGCGGTTTTGGTTTTGTTTTGTAGAGTTTTAAAACAAGAATATGCAATATCCCCACAATAAAGAAATTCCTGCAGCCTGGCAGCCAGAGGAAACCACCAACACCAGAAGAAGATATACCCAAAGTGATGGAAATTTTCTTCTGAGCAGCAGCCTATAGCCACAGAAACTCTCTTTTCATTGTGTTTGCTGATAGTGGCAAAGGGAAATGAATGAAAACAGTGAAAAGGTTGTTGATCTCTCTTTCCTTAGCTACAGCACTGGTTTGAGCCTACTGTCAACACTTCCTAGGGGAATCTATATGACCATACCAGAAAATGGAAGAGTGCACTGATTAGGGAGTGTACTGGACAACATAAGATATCTTAACTGACTAAAGAGAATACCTGAAATAAAGTCTTACTATTGACACTCAAACCCAGGTTGTTAATTGACTTCTTGATGCTACTTATATACCTAAGGGCTCTCTGGTTCTGGCATTCCTAAGAATTGCTGGAAAATGATGAGAGTTTAGCCCAAACAGTAGGTGATGTACCTGTTTGGGGAAATGCCAGGAAAAGCATGCAGGTTCCGGTTAGATGGGGATTACTGCTTAAGATTCAGCTTTCCTCTGAGTTTAACTTGTACTTAAGTTGTTCATTATAATCACATAAATCAAGTTCTGCTACTGAGGGGTTAGCAAGTCAGTTGAACACATAACTATGCATCTTGGTCTCAGGAAAGCTGTCCCTGCCCATGGCAGGAGGGTCAAAACTAGATGATCTTTAAAGTGCCTTCCAACCCAAACCATACTATGATTCCATGATATTGTTTAAACACTAAATAAACCCAGGATGTAAAGGAAAGAGCAAGTGCCCTAGGAACAAGTAATGCTCTAGTGCTGGCAGTTTTAAGCTGGGCAAACTCAGGGCACTACAACTCCTGCTAACACCAACAGTTTCTTCACAAGCAATGTCGTGCATCTGGAACCTGTCCTTATCATCAAAAAGGGAAAAAACCCAGCGTTTTTCTGCAGCAAAGCATGTATGAAACAGAGTTGTTGCACGAGTGCTTTCCCTCCCTCCTCCCTGAGGCTTTCAGACAGCACTTGCAGCTGCTGAGCATTGTCAGACACTCAAGCCAGAAACTTGGGTCATGGTTGCCGACTCTGTGAGCTGGGCAGTTCCAGGATCCTGAGCACAGACCTCCTTGGGCCACGCAGAGCCAGAGCCCCCAGCACACCAACCACCTGGCAACCTGCTCATGGGGCTGCAGCCCCGGCCTCTCCCCAGTCATGACATCCCTGCGACCCCACTGCTGCCTTGGGAGCCTCCAAGCCTGTCCCCTGCCTCCTCTTGCCCCGGCCATGTCCCTGAGGTGCAGCCACCTCTGAGACAGCCCAGTGGAAATGCTGGCCAGAAAAAATTGGATTTGTTACCTGTTATGCAACTGGCCAATAATTATGCACTTGAGAGAGACATGGATTATTTATTTCAGAGCTCTGCAAGCCTGGGTGCTTGCTGGTATTCCACAAAGCAAGTACACCCACTATCAAAAATTTTTACTCTTTATATATTTTTGCAAACAAAGGCATTAATGTTCCTTGGCTACAGGTGACACGGTTCTCTTATTATTATATCTTCTACTGGTTAATGATTCCCTCGCTTCTCTTGCTTATTAGTTTAGATGTCCAGTCTTTCTCTTCTTTTAGGTGGGTGGGTTTCTTGGCTCAGCAGCCCCTGAGTTGATAGTCGCGATCTCCCCCTGCCACAATTACCTTTCACCCAGTTGGAGCTGATTCATCATAGTTGCTGAGTTGTCTTAATTAGTTTCTTCCTTATCTTGGCAGTTCTTGCCAAATGTCCTTGTGGCCCAGAAATTCTGCATTCTTTGTGTCCACTAGCAGTGGAACATCCTTCTTTCCAACCTTTGTTAACACCCCCCCGCCCGCCAGTTCTGAGATCATTGAAACCTGTTGAGCCCTAAACCTTAACAAGGCAATTCTACTGATAATAATTTTTCTTTCACTTAGAGCTGGCTTCTTAGCTGCCATCTGTTTCACGCATTAAATCTCCTTTCCTCTTGGTTAGGCTTGAAAGTGGACAAAGATCAAACATCAGAGAACATCCTTTCTTAGGAAAATTTTTACGTATTCCACATTTTGCAACAGAAACAGCCGCTCCACAAGACTCCAGGGACAAGGCCGAGATGGCTTTTCCGTCAGCCCTGGTCGTAGGGCTTAGGGATGGAGTTTGACAGCGGGAAAGCGCATCAGCTGCGGCCGCCACGTCCGCAAATTGCGGGGCGGGCAGTGGGCACAGCTCGGGCGCGGAGGGGGCCAAGGGGAGGAGCGGCCGCCTCCTCCCGGGGGCTGGGCGGGCAGTGTCGCGGTGCTGGCCGGGCGGAGAGGGCGGTGTGGCGGCGGAGCGGCCCGAGCGCACGGTACTGAGGCGGCGGGCGGGGGCCCGGCGGGGGCCGTTGTGAATGTTGCCGGGATTAGGGGCCCTGCCGGGAGGGCAAAGGGAAGGTGCGCGACGGACGGGTGAGCACTTGAGAAACGTGCTTGAGTGTCCGGCCGTGCTGCTCCGGGGGGTTTGTCCAGGGATTATTCCCCAGCGTCTCTCCTGCAGCACTGAGCTCCGACGGGCGGGTGGGTGTGCATAGAGGGTGTTCGTGTTCGCGCCTGAGTAGGTTCAGCAGGTATCCTAAAGAGGACCTGCTCACTGGAGTCCAGGTTTTGCAATATCTGGGGGTAATTTGCCTTTCATCTCGTCCAGACACTCCTCCTGGCTGGGGCGGTGGAAGGAACGCATTTTGAATCCAGGCTTGGCCTGAATCCCAGTGGAAACCACACGCCGGTGAGCAGTTACACTTTTAAGATGGTCCGGAGGCCGAGCCGGGCTCGATGCAGCATTGTGTGTAAGGTCGTTCTGCTGGAACAGCCCTGTGCCGGCTGAGTTTCAGGAACATTGCTGAGAGAACTACTTTGGGGTCCATATCCAATTAGGGAGAAAATTTAAGATTTTGCAGCAGATTATGGACGTACTGTTAAATTCACTTACTTGTTTCTCACTGGAAGGCCAGTGCCTGAATTGATATGGACAAAATAGCATGATTTTTTTTTTAATACAGTGATCACAGCAGTAGCAGCACCTGCCTGGCTGAGGTCCAAGGAAGGTCTAATTCTAAACATCAGGAAAATTTGTGATTAATTTTCAGGTCCATTATTGCTATTCAAGAAATGTAATTTACCAATTTTGATAGTCTTTCATGACTTACTATTTTACAAAGGAATATTCACTACAGACCCATAACTAGGTCACCAAAATAACTTGCAATCCTATGTATGTGTTCAGCCTAAACCCCAAATTCAGACCTTAGGCAGTGCATTTCCAAGAAGATAAAAGGTTTTTCTTACTCGAACAAAAAGACTCAACCCTTGGCCAATCCCCAAAAGAAACTGTGATGAAGAAATATGGGTGATGTTGATACCTGAAATTTTTTTCACTGACACTGGTTTTACTCTTCAGCTTTCCCAGCTGTGTTGAGCAGAGCACTGGGCTGAAAGTGGCAAGCAGGGCTCTGGCTGGGCTGAATTTTATCAGCTCCACATCTGCTTTGGGGAGAGGTCAGGGAAATTTGCTCTTTCTGCTAATGCTAGCCTGCCTTATAGTGTGTTTCCCAGGCTTGATCCCACATGCTGGAGATTAGAATGCTTGTCCAGTCTGTGAAGGTCCAAGTGCAGTTCTTAAGTATTTTTGAAATATGGAAGACTGAGAGCTCTCTTACTTGCTATACCATAATTCACACACGTACAGGAACTAGAAATGGAGCATAAGTTGTGGTCTTCTGTGGGTAGGGCTGGTAAGGGAGCTGTGGCAAGTCACTTCTCTGAATGCCTTATTGCTGTTCAGATGTCAGGAATCTAGCTAGACATCCAGCAGTTCTAGACTAGATGCCAAATCCAGTCAAGCCATAATCAAGTCCTTATTATCAATTGTATATTTTTGTATTAGGAGAATTTTGTTACAAGAGACTGAGGTGTCTGGGGATATAGACATTGCCAGGGCTAGGTGGGAACTGAGCATTGGTTTTGAAGACCTGTAGTTTGGACAGGGGCACCACATTTCTCCTGTGAGTCCAGTCCCTGTTTGCTATAGGGCCTGAAGATGCCACTCAACACAAAGGACTTCAGTGGAGAGGGGGATGTGGTCTCCTCTCTCTCTGTTGTGCTGTTTGTTTGTGCCTCTTTATTGACGCCTTTGGGATCATGGCCAAAATTTCCACTTTGTGGCTCAGTTATGTATTGTGAAGTCTATGCAAAAATAAATAAGCCTGCCTGTAAATAGATAAAACCTTGTCTTAACAATGAAGCATTCTGTTAGTCTGTGACTCTCTCTTCTTACAAAATCTGCCTCATTCATCTGGGACCCATTAGTGATAAGAATACAGTGATAGCATTGTTTCCAGCACCGGGCAAGCTCACATCAGCTGCTGATGTCATACTATGGCATGTGACTGCACATGTTGGGGAAATTTGAAAGGACAAAGTGTTTTATCCCATTGCCATCATCTGGTGGGCTGATTTCAGCCCCCTGCTGCTGGGGGCATTGCCCAGGCCTTATCTGCCCAGCAGAGGTCCCAGTCCCATTTGTTTGGTTTTGATTTTCAAGTTTAGTTTTCAGGGCAAATGGGATATAAATCCCTGTTACAGTTTAACTGTAATAGAACTAGCTAAATAGAGAAGTGAGCAGGCCCGGTGAAATACATTGCTTTTAAAAGCTCATATTTGTAAAGACACAGAAACACGGGGCTCTGAATTGTCCTGTGAGAGAGGTGAAACCTGATGTTGCTGCGTTGGTGTTCTTTGGAAGCAATTAATTTGACGTACATTTTCAAGTTCGATATGACATGGGTGCTGTCACAAAACCCAACACCTACTAAAGATCATCACCGCAAGGTTAAAAATGTGTTTATTCAGGAATATCCTACAGTTCTGCTTTCGTTGTAAAACTCTAATGAGCTGTAAAAACTACATTATTATTTTTGAAGATATGTATATGGTTTAGTAGATGCTTGTTATAGTCTGTCATGATGTGATTTTGAATTGCTCATATTCTGGTAGTGTGTACTTTTTCTTTTAGTCCATTAATCCACAGAAAACATAGTTGCATCAAGCCCAAGTATCTAGGCCTTGGTTGTTCTACTTTCACATTCATTCGACTGTTTTAAGTAACCTGGAGTGGAACATTTTAAATGCTAATTTAAAACATTTTTCCTGTAAAATCTTCATCTTGAATTTATTAGGAAACAAGAACTCTGAAATCATGGCAGGGAAACCCAAGCTGCACTACACCAAGGGAAGGGGGAAGATGGAGTCAATCCGATGGCTGTTAGCAGCAGCTGGGGTTGAGGTTTGTACCTTTTTTTTATAAAGTGATCAGATTAATCTGTGATTAAAATAGGTATTCTCTGGAAATGTTTCCTAATTGCATCTGTGCTTAGGGATATGCACAACATTGCATATTGTGATGCAGAATGCTTAGATTCAGTGATACACTCTCATGCTGTACTTCATGTATGCCTTGAGCAATAGTTGTGCAGTAAAAGGATTTTAACATACAAAGAGAATTAATAGGTGTCATTTTTGAAACATACTTTGAGATCTTAAATTGTTGCTACAGACAAAACTGTGTATCTCTGACTTTTTCTCAATGCTCATAAATTCCCTGTATCTCATGATTCTTCTCCACTGAAAGACCATGCATGCCACATGAAAACTTTAGAACATTTTCTCCAAACAAAGTGCTTTTCATTCTTTGTGTCAGGATCTGAGTAGAATAAATCAGCAGATCTGCTCTAAAGGCAGCAGTAGGGGATTTATCTAGATTAACATCAGGTAAAGACCATCCTAAGGCATCTTAATTTCTACATTAAGTTTTTGTTTAAGTATGGTTCTTTGAAACGATTTATATTCCATTAGAAATAAAAAGCTTTTTTAACTCACTTGTCAGTGTTGCTGACAGAGAAGCTGCACAGCATGAGTGCTGAGAAGACAAAGATCTTGTCCTCATTGAAATATCCTCACTTACAAAAAAAGTCAGGGAGGGAAAGAGGGAGATAAATGCTGTGTAACAGAGGCATGCATAACTTACAAAAAAATTCTCAATATTTCATGCTTTTAAGTGAATGATTTGGTAGCTGTTAACAGTTCATGCAGGCAAGTAGACTGGTCTTTATGTTGGGGAAGCTTTATTTGGAGCATAATGCAGTGTACAATACTGTAGTGTTGGGGACACTATAGTCCATTATTTGCTGGAGCAGAGATGAAGAATGGGAGTAGGGGATCTGTTGAGGAAACTTTCCTGTCTGACCATCCAGGAGCCACTCCAGCAGTCCTTAAAATAATTTAATCATGGTGCAACAACAGAATAACAGCTTGAGCTGATGCCTTCAAAGAGGGACCCCAAACAAAGGAAACCCATGGCTTTTATACTCTCACAGTCTAAGAGTTCAAAAGCCTGGGGTCACCTGCTCCTGCTGTGTCTCAGCTGGCTGATGCCATAGTTCCCTGCGCCTTTTCTTACACAAAAGGTTGGCAGTTCATGGTCTCTTGCCTCCACTTCCACCACCCAGAGCTCACCCTGCAGCTCATACTGCAGCTGCTCACCTATCTACCTGCACTGAATGTATTCCTCAACAGGGTCAACACAATGAGAGAAGTATAGAGAATAATGTGGAGAGGTGGAGTCTGATGTCCAGACTTCCTTCCACTTCTCTATTGCCTTTGGAGTGACACAGTGTTGTTTTCTATTGATGCTTTTCAGTTTGAGGAACAATTCATAGAAACAAAAGAAGACCTAGAAAAATTACGCAATGGTGAGTCTGTAAACTGTACCCTAAACATAAATTCACACCTACATAATACAAGGACAACAGGTGATATTTCTGTAAAACCTTTATAGAATCAGCCAGGTTGGAAAAGACCTCTGAGATCATGAAGTCCAACCCTTGATCCAACACTGCTGTGGTTACTAGACCATGGCACTAAGTGCCACATCCAGTTTCATCTTAAAAACCTCCAGGGATGGTGAATCCATCACCTCTCTGGGCAGCCCCTTCCAATGCCTGATTACCCTCTCTGTAAAGAATTTCTTCCTAATATCTCACCTAAACCTCCCCTGGCACAGCTTAAGACCATGCCCTCTTGTCTTACTGATAGTTGCCTTCTGGGCCACCTGGGCACACTGCTGGCTCATGTTCAGCTTCCTGTCAATCCAAACTCCCAGGTCCCTTTCTGCCTGGCTGCTTTCCAGTCACTCTGCCCCCAGCCTGTAGCGCTGCATGGGGTTGTTGTGCCCAAAGTGCAGGACCCGGCACTTGGCCTTGTTGAACCTCATCCCGTTGGAATCAGCCCAACTCTCCAGTCTGTCCAGGTCCCTCTGCAGAGCCCTCCTGCCTTCCAGCAGAGCAACACTCCCCCGCAACTTAGTGTCATCAGCAAATTTGCTAATGGTGGACTCGATCCCCTCATCTAAATCATCAGTAAAGAATTAAACAGAACTGGGCCCAACACTGATCCTCCCCCGAAAAAAACTGAGTGTAAATCCGGAGGGTAAGCTTCTATAGACTAAAACTAGTCCTCAAAGCACTCCTAAATTTTAGCAGAGATTAAATTTTTGCAGTGAAAGAATTTTTGCATCACAGTTGCTAAGGAGGAAGGACGAGCATTAGTATCCCTAATCATAGAATCCTAGCATCAATCCAATCATAGCTGGAAGGGATCCACAAGGATCACTGAGTCCAACCAGGATGGCAGTGTTAGTATTTGTTACAGGAGGTAGAGGTAAACCTGAATTAGCTCCCATGCTGGAAGCACAAGTATTTGCAGGAAAAACAGTGGTATATCTCACCACCACTAGCTCTTGTGGTGGTGAGAGTGTGGTGTTTCAGGTTATGCAAGGCTACTTTGAGACAGAGATGTCTTTGAGGAACAGTCCCATCACATGCAATTTATAGTCGTGGCGCTGCAAAAATAAATCTGGCTTCTGTGATGCCTCCAAATAGCAGAAGCTGAGAGGAAAATAAGTAACTGTAAAATTTTTCAGAGACTATTAAGACAATAAAGAATTCTTTACAGGCATATAATACCAAGTATAAATACTGCTTCAATATGATGTGACCTGTAAAGAAGACCTGCTTCCTTATGGATGCACTCATCCCTCAGATTTAATAATGTCTTGGTCTGTTATCAGGTCTCTTCCTTAGTTTCAGTGTAGTGCTTCAGCAGTCTGAGTGGTTCTTTTTCTTCCCTAGATGGAGTTCTGCTGTTTCAGCAAGTGCCCATGGTGGAGATCGATGGGATGAGGATGGTGCAGACCAGAGCCATCCTCAGCTACATAGCAGCAAAGTACAACCTCTATGGAAAAGACTTGAAGGAGAGAGCCTGGTAGGGTAGCAATGCATACTGTGCTCACTAACACTCTTCCACGATTTTTAATATTTACCAAAAAAAATGTTGCTGTGAAATATCTGCATGTCACGTGCATATACATCTGCCAGGGCTTTGGCTCCTCAGACCCATGGATTGGGTGATTGGACTTTGTGATTGATAAATTATTAACTTTCAGCATTCTGAGAAAATTAGGGCTACCTTCAGACTCATTTGATTTCACAGATGAGAACTGCATTAAGTTCCTGGAGGAGAGTAATACAATAATAAAGGCTAAGTATGCCTTTTTTTGTCTTTAAATGGGAAAACAGAAGGAAAAAATTACAGCTGCCTGTAAAAAATGAAGTGTTGTTAAGTGTTCTAATTTTCTTTCTTCAACATGTAAAGAATCTTTCACAGCTGGTTTAAAAAAAGATATGTGGCTATAGATATAATGCTACCAAAAGTTAAACCAATATTTCCCCATATTACTTTACTATGTAAGCCTTACTCTGTAAGCTTTTGTAAGAATGGCTACTTTCCATTCTCATACTTAAAGGGTTAATACAAAAGAAAAAAAATCCTTATTTGCTTTTTCTTAAATAATTAAATAAACCTACCAATGTAGGTTTAAAAGTAAAAGTAAAGTCCTTAACCTAACAGACTGTCACTTACTATAGAGGCTTTTATTTTGCAACTCCAGAGACTGTGGGGATTATTACAGACTCGCAATTGGTAGCCAGCATCCTTTCATGATTAGACCTCAAAATTATTTTTCTTTCCTAGCGTGGTTTGCATATGTGGTGTTTTCTCCCACAGCATAACCTAATATATTGTCAATGGAAAACAGCATGAACTCCACTTTAAATACATTAGTTACAGCCTTTTTATTTATACATTGCTTATTGCAGACACTGTGAGCCTGCTTATAAAATGTGTGTTTTGAAAAAACACTTTTTTCAAGTGGAAGAACAAGAAAATAAACCAGTGTCTTATGTTACATTCACTGATTTTACTCAGTGATCACTTCAGCATTGTATTTCAGGAAAATAACCAAAATGGAATGTTCGAATTATAAATATGAAACAAAAATATTTGTTTCAGGATTGATATGTATGTGGAAGGAACTACAGACCTGATGGGAATGATCATGTATCTCCCTTTTCAACCAGCTGATACAAAAGAAAAGAATCTTGCCTTAATCATTGAACGAGCTACAACCAGGTACTTTCCTGTTTATGAAAAGGTAAGTGATAAATCACCAGTAGTTTACAAAGATGTAAAGTGGTTCCCCCTTCCAGCCCACTTCCCTCTCCTCACACATATACTTTTCAGAAGGCAAGTGACAGTACAACTCTGGAAATGTATGATGGAGCCAGTATTCAGCAATGTGAAAAGAGAGCCACAAAATAATTTTTTTGTGGTTTCAGCACTGAGTCTCTTTGCTGTCTTCTTTAAGACTCCTCAAAGAACAGATCCTTCTTTTTAAAGCTAGCATAGTGGATGATGGCTTCTTAGCATTTTGCATAAATGCGCCATTTAAATACTTGTGCCAGCCTTCAGAACTTATTGCCTGAAAGTGTATTAGGTTATCACAGAATCCTTAAAGTTGGAAAAGACCTTTAAGATCATCAAGTCCAGCCATCAGCCCAGCACCACCACCATGTCCTCAAGTGCCATATTCACATGTTTCTTGATCACTTCCAGGGATGGTGAGTCCACCACTTCCCTAGCAGTCTGTTCCAGGGATTTACAACCCTTTGCATTAAAAAGAAATTACCTAAGATCTAATACAAACCTCCCATGGCACAACTTGACTCCATTTTCTCTTGTCCTGTTACTTGTTACCTGGAAAAATAGGCCGACCCCACCTCACTACAACCTCCTTTCAGGGAGTTGTAGAGTGATGTCTCCTCTCAGTCTCCTTTTTATTCTTGTTGTTTGAAGTTAAATATAATTGTCCTTTACAGTTAAGGATCTAATTCTATGACCTTTCCTAAATCCATTGCCTAAATGTATTGTACTGAGAGACTATGACTGTATTTCTCTGAATTGCTCTTTGGGCATCCTTAAGTGGGCACAAAAAGGCTCTGCAAACAGGATGTATCTAGCTTAAAAAGCATAAAGCAATTATTTACTGGCTAGCATGCGCTAAAGAGTTAGTCTCTAATGAGCTGTGAGGGAAGGCATTGGTATGCTTGCCACCCCCATAGAGCACATGAAGAGTCTTGGCTAGGGAAGAGTTGGTCAGGAGGGGATGGATTGTTCTTTGCTTCTCCCTGGAACATTGCCATTTTATACCAGCTTGCTGTTTGTTCTGTTGTTTCATTTCTCCTGTAAGGATATTTTAATTTTTTTGTGTTACCATTTTTCTGTTTGATCCTCATCTCCTGACTCTACTTCTGTTTGTAGCTTTACCTTTTGTGCATTGTATGGTTGTACTGTACAGACTTTCTCACAGCACTTTTTCAGAGCATAGTGGTCTCCTTGGAAGTCTGTGCCAAGGGTACAAAGCTGTGCTGTTTCCAAGCTGAGTTGGGTTTCCAGCTTGAATTCTTGGTTACCAGGCAGCTGAAGTCCATTCAGAAAAATACAGGACTTCATGCAATTTCATGTCCCTCTTTATCAGAGCCTTAAATTGCACAGGTAAAGCCCACAGAGGCTGCCCTGTAAAATAATGATGTAAATGACATAATCCAGCACTTCTGTAATCAGAGTTCATGTATATCCACTGCCATACCAAGGGAGGGCTGTGCTGAGAGAGATTGATTGCACACATTATTCTTTCAAAGATTTGAAGTCTGATAAGTATTCAAGTTATTAAAAAATAAAAAAGGAAATGTACACACCGACATTCTCTAAACCTGTGCCTAGGTTGCATAAACTACTGCTGTGATATGTTTTAGTGTGTATGCTCCCTGGAGGGGAGTCTTTAAAATAATCCATGTTCTCTTACGGTAAAGACACAGCTAAAACTCTTCTGTGATTTTAGCCTAGTTAGAATGGTTAGTAATTTTGTTTCTGTACCAGTTATTTAAATGTCCATTGATTCAGCTTACCAGGGTTTGCAGTCTGACAGAAAACATCCCTAGCTGTAAGTGCTCACTTTAAGCACTTAGCACCCAGATAGAGCAGCAAAAAGCAATATAAAGCCCTGCAGGCAATCTGGTTCTGATGCTCTGTTTGGGAGTTTCCATACAGTTTTGATAAAAAAGCTGTGGTGGACTTTGTTGGAACAGTGTAGGAAATAACTACATGAAGGTATCAGCTTTGCCTCTGCCAGGAATTACTGCCTCTGTTGTAAAATTGGCAGATGGGACTGGAGAAGGACTTGGCTTCCAAAGTCAGACTGAGGTGTTAGTTTTACTGCACATTTGTTACTTGTTTAAGTGTAGCATTAGCGTAGCTTAGGCACAGACACATGTCCCTCCCTTGGTTCTGCTATGAGGGTGATAGTCTTTAGGAAAAAGGTAGGCTGCAGAGCTGGTAACTGCTCTGAAACTGTTCTGCAACATTCACCAAAACTTGTCTACTACAGTTGTTTGTAGCTTTGGCAGGCTGTGATTCTTCCATCAGCAGTTTGCCACAAAAGAATCCTTCTTACAGGATGAAGGGTGGAAAGGCCGTGTTCCTTCATTCTGAATGTATTTCAAACTATAATCAGCAATCTCAAATTTTGCTGAAACATCTGCTGAAAATCCATTTGACCATTTTCTTAAAAAATTCTAGGTGTACTACTTCTTTCAATTACTTCAGTCCTGTTTCTTTTCCATGATTAAGTCTTCATTGGGGTACTGGACTTGATATACAGCTACTTGGTGCAGTAGGTTAGAATGAGAGATAGGGCCACACATGCTGCTGAAACATGAGTTCTCATTTAATTTTTTATATAAAGAATATCTATCACTTTCTAACTTCATAGGTTCTTGAATGGCTTTTCCCTGCTGTGTGTTTTTGTAGATATCTGCCTGTAATGAAATATCTAGATAAAATTGTTACATCCTATATGACTTTTTGAATTTTTCTTTATTTGTTCATATTTTATAGGCCTTAAAAGATCATGGACAGGATTATCTTGTTGGCAACAAATTAAGCTGGGCAGACATCCATCTGCTGGAAGCCATTTTAATGACAGAAGAATGTAAGCCTGATATACTGTCTGCATTTCCTCTGCTACAGGTTAGTAATCATCTGATCTCAATATGGAACGTAACATAGAAATATCACTGACCAGTCTTAAAAGTTATTTGATATTTACATCTTTTGAGCCATTGTACTGATGGTTCTCTGGTCTATTTCTGCTGACTACAAAAACCTGAACTCACTTGCACTGCCTTGCCCCCAGAGCTGCTGGGGCCTTACCTTTCTCCAGCTTTACTTTTCCCAGCTGTTCTCAGCTGGCAGGAATTCGCTTACTGATGCTACCAGTTTGGTCCTTTAACTGCTACTTTCATGTCTTCAAACACAGCAGCGAGCATCAGGAAGGGAAGTCTGCAGCCTGGTGTGTGTACAGTTCCTGTCCTTTTCTTTTTGCTAGCAAAATTGTATTTTGAAGAAATCATACAAAAAGAGCAGTTAAGTTTCTTATGTCATGACTTCTGTGGTACTTTGCACTGAAATATTCCTGTCCTTGCCTCTTTCCCACCCTCTCCCAAATATATCTGCTGTGGGTTTTTTGCTTTTTATTATTTTCTTCCACTTTTTACTAGATGAATCTTAACTCTTTAATTTCTCCCATCCCTATCTGGGAAACGAAGGGAAACTTTATAGCATCAGCATCACAGATCAGAAGAGGCTACTACCTTTCTCTGTTTAGTAGTGTATCTGACAAAGAAAAATCTAAGTCACTTGATTATTAAGCTATAAAGGATGGAGTTATAATTTCATTACACTCATTGGCTTTACTGCTGCTTCTTACAGGCTTTTAAAGGAAGAATCAGCAACATTCCAACAATCAAAAAATTCTTGCAGCCTGGCAGCCAGAGGAAGCCACCAACAGATGAGAAGTTTGTTGCTGTTGTGAGGAAAATATTCAATATCTAATCTGCTGAAGATAGCACAACTATAGTATGTTACCAGAGCTGTGCCTTGTAAGTGTAAATTGCATACCTGTGCTCCGTAGCTTGCATCACGTAGTTAGTGTTGAAAAAGAATACACTTTTAAATTAGAGTAAAAGACTAATTTGGACCTGTTGAGTGCAGAAAATGGTATTTCATTGAGCAGTTACATGAAATAAAATATACTGATACTTTGTGTGTGTTCAATTATGGTACATGCTTGGTAGGATAAAATGTTTCAACTGTAGCTTCCACAGTACTGTAGAAAGCTACCCTACCCCCCATCTTCCTCTTTATAAATTCCAGGAGAGAGGAGACACTCCATAAAAATGGAGAAGTCATTTAGATTCAGGCCTCAAATCTTTTGGGTTGGCTCTCTAGGTGTTCTCCTAGACCAAAGTTCACTGTCCCCTGCTGTATTTCACTGCTGTCTCTGTACTTTCAGAACTGCAGTTTAAAAATTAAATAAATAAAAACATTTAAAAGAAAATAAAATTAAAACTCATGATCCTTGTAAGTTACTGGGCAAAAGTAGGAAATTTTTTAATCCCCACATGAATCTCTTAGAAGCTATTTTTTTCACTGAAAGATCAAAGTACTTGTGCTTAATTGGCCTGCTGTGGTTTTCATCCATTGAAAGTACCTATTCCCTTGCTCTTTTTTTTGCTCTTGACTGGATGGGCAGTGAGGCAAATGCCCCTTGAACATTTTTTTGGTAAGGTTTTACTTTCTCCAGTCACTTCCCAAGTAAGTTATAAAGAGAACTGCACTGACTGCTTACCTTTTCAGTGAAAGAGTTAGTTTTACCTCAACAGTGCTTAAAGCGCTCACTACTATTTCAGATTCTTTACCCTGATTTCACAGGAACCACCACTGTTCCCTTTAAGAACAGTGCCATAAACTATCCTTCTTTGCAGTTACTTCTTTTTCTCAGTAGGACTCAAACTGATTAGGCAAACAAATAGTGGAAATACAGAATTGCTGCCCAGCAAAGTTAACTCCTTTTCTGACTTGTGCCTAAGAAAAACCACGTGCATCTCAGAGATACAAACGACAAGCATCCCACTCACCTGGGCACTGCTGAGTTCCGAAGAGTTTTACGTTAAATTACGTCATTAGCTGGAAGCAATAGTTTGCCATGCCCACCACAGTACTTGTTTCATTGAGCTATTTCTCTGTTACGAACAAGTGCTATGATTTGGGAACCATCACAGAGACTGGTACAGATCATCACTGTTGTGTTCTGTGAGCTTTTAGTCCCATACGATATGTTGGACTTGCTGAGAACGCTACCCGTTTTGGCTTCTCAGGAATTCCAGCACTAGCTTCTGGATTACAGTGGGGCTTGGAGGCTAGCCCCAGCCCCCTGCCCCCATGGCTAATTCAGAGAACGCACAGAAGGATCAATTCTGGACATGCTCTAAAACGCAACATCTTAAACTGCATTTAGGATCTAGGGTAGCAGCAACTGCAGATTGCCTTTTGCATTTCAGCACTAGGTTGCCTTAGCTTTTCACTGCAGCTTAATCTAAGGCGTTCACTGTGTCTACATTGCAAGTATCCAGATCTGCATGTCACCAAAGCCTGCTATATGCCTGATACGCCTTCAAGTTCTGCTTCATGGTGAAATGAAGCACATCGTATTTGTGCAGCTGTCATCCCAATCTGAAATCTGTAACATACCAGCTCAATCACCTGTAAGCCTGGCAACACCTGGAGGTGACCGATACCAACATCTGTCAGCAAAAGATTCCAGAGCTGTAGGCTGTGGTTTGGGGTTGGTAAGGATTTTTTTGTGTTGTGTGTTTTCCCCCTGCTTTTTTTTGTCAGTTATGCCTGAGCTACTCACACCACCTTGTCACCACCTAAGCCCCTGCCAAGAATAATAACCTTGGTATTCCCCTAGTGGATTTGTGCACTGAGATCTGATACACGATAGCCTTCATAAGCAAGCTTTGATGAAAGAAATGAAGCAAAATTTCTGTCTTCAATATTGCACTCACCCGTACTCAATTTACTAATGGTTTGGCTGTACACTTCCTCTACACCAGAAGACAGTCTTGGCCAAGCTTTGAGACCCAGGAAATATTTATTTTGTATGTAAAACAAAGCAACTTTAATCCTGAATAGTTTATGACTGATAAGACTGGAACAGCAAACCTGTTCAAGAGTAATGAGAGTTTGGAACCTCTTTCTGCAGGATGGCAAACATTCCTCAGTTGTGGTTCATGTCAGTGGCAATTTACAGCATGATATATGTTTTAAACCACTAGAGTACAAAGCAGATCACTAGGCTCTTCATTGAACAGTCTCACTCAGCTGCATAAAAACTTGAGAAGTTTCGAACATTTTACATTTTACATTGATAACAGGTTTTAGATTTGGACTCAGTGGAATAAGAAGTGTTTGAAAGGAAGGGTTAGGGTTTTCTAGTGCAACACAGTACAGGCCCGAGACTTTATTGATTTAGAACTGATTATTTAATAGACAAACTACAAAATTATGCTTCAATACAAGATACCTTTTTAGCATAAAGATGTATTTATATATATTCTTCTCTCAGAGATACAGTGCAAGACTAATTCAATTTCCTGGGGTGCTCAGCACCCTGAAAAGAGATCAAACTTACAGAGAAAGATTCCTTGAGTTTACAGACTGCTTAATGGAAGTAGATCAAAATATATCAACAAAACATTTGTTTTAGTTTTTAAAAAAAGCTTGCAAAATATCAGCCCATGTCAATCAAATAACAGGTACAGATCTTTTACAGAAAAGATAAATGCAATGTAAGATTGGTGTTCAGACTTGTTTTAAAATATGGAGAGCATGTCTGTTTGTTCGGTGGGCACGGCAGTCATACTCATGTCTTGAGTTGCTAAATTCTGCTACAGCAGCATAAAAACAAGCCTCAAAATCATCAAAAGACTGCAAAAAAACCCAAAAAAATATAATTATGGCTGTGCATGAACAAAACCAGTGAAAGTCATCATTAAATAACAGGGCATTCATAAATAACTGATGCTTAGAGCCTTATTAAGCAATCTTTTGAAGTGTCTAAATCTACACACTCAGTGTCTGTTGAAACACACAGCCCACCTAGGCTGGAAAAGTGATCCACAATGGACAATGTTTTCTGGTGTAAGTCCTGATTCTTAAATTATGCATCTTGACAATTTGCATCTGATTTTTATCTCCCTGTATAAAAATCCTGGAGTAAAACAGAATGGTGCTATATTAAATCTGGTAACAATGAAGCAACAGTTATTATTTCTTCAGAAGGTAGAGATTCTGACTTATAGCTGAAAAATGTTTTGAGTTACAGACTCATTGGGAAAAAAAAGTTTTTATTTACTCCATAATTTAATTCCAAAATAAGACATACAGAAAATGACATTTTCCAGAATGTCCAATAGCAGCAATAAAGCAGTTGGAATGGTTAGAAACATCATAATTTGCAGAAATACTGACCAAAGTCCTTAGGTCAGGTCAAAAATGTTGTGGTTTTCAATGGTGCTGTGCTTCCTGTAGTTTTGAATGCAGCACTTCTAAACCAAAGTCTTGGCACTTTTTTAAGATGACTGTGTGAAATTAGACTAAATATATGGATATGTATTCAAAACCCCTGAGGCTTATCCAGGTTCTTCTAAGAGCCTTATCAATAGACATTAATATTTAATTGCAGACCTCTCCTTTCTGTGCTGCAGAAGTCACTTCTTATCAGCTGTATCTGGCTAGTGAGATGAAAAAGCTGTTCACTATAAACAGGACTGTGACCTCCAAACTAATTTCACTTAAGCTGTGTAGTTGCTAAATGATAGTGACTACCACTGATATGGCTTTGAATCAGGTGTCAAATGGCAACTATTTGAAAGTCAGCAAAATCTTTACATTAAGATCCTCAGTATTTACCTCAGGCCTGCTACTAGTCCGGCTGGCATTAGTTTCTTGGACCTCTTGAACCTCATTCCCATTATAATGGTCAAAAGAAAAGATGAAACTGTAAAAGACAATTCAATATATTAATGCTCTCACTTCTCCCAGTGGACCATTCAGGAACATGGAGAGTTATCAAAGGTCAATGCTGTTTTGCTATGAACTGCAATTTAATAAAATTAGATCAGATATAGGGTCTGTAAAAACATTCTTGCTTTTCCAAAATACACCACTATGATTTCTTTCAGCTACAAATAAGGTTTCTATGTGCAGCAGAATGCTAAATCTTATTCCATGGATACTAAGTAAGTTTGTCAGACAGTGAATTCTACTCCCCCTGTTACTACATTCATAGGGATACAAATAAAGGAGGAAGAATCTTTGTAGTAACAGTAACATGTATGCTGAATTACAGGAATAGTGTCTCATAAATCCCACCACCCCAGATCACTGTAGTTGTTTTCTAACTATTCAAGGAGGTAGTTCGATCAACTTCTTTTCTGTTTTATTTTTAGAATATTAGCTCTTTATTTGTTGAGCCTTGGAAGGTTTGCCACTTGTTTTTGCTACAGAATATGGCTATCAACATCTTCTTCATCATGACCACAAGTTCACTTGTATCCTTTTGTTACAAGATCCATGTCTGTGACAAGAGGTGGGCAGCCCAAGAGGGAACAAATGCAGCACAAGCAGCAGAAAACAAACATCATGAAAGAAATTGCATCTTCTTTCTGGAATAGTTTTACCTAAAAATGGAGGCAGCAGTGAACTCATCAGGCAGGGGGATTTCATCTCGAACTATGGCTGCAGAGCACTACATAAATGAGAATCAGAGAATCATAGAATATGTTGAGTTGGAAGGGACCCATCAGGATCACTGAGTCCACCTACTGGCCCTGCATAGGACACCCCAAGAGTCACACCATGCGCCTTAGAGTATTGTCGACACACATCTTCAACTCAGACAGGCTTGGTGCTGTGACCACTTCCCTGGGGAGCTTGTTCCAGTGTCCAACCACCCTCTGGGTGAAGAACCTTTTCCTGATATCCAACCTAAACCTCCCCCAACTCAGCTTCATGCTGTTTCCTTGAGTCCTGTCACTAGCACCACAGAGAAAAGATCAGTGGCAGCCCCTCACCAGGAAGTTGTAGACTGCAATGAGGTCTCTCTTCAGTGTCCTCCAGACTGAACAAACCAAGTGACCTCAGCTGCTCCTCACACAGCTTCCCCTCAAGGCCCCTTCACCATCTTCGCTGCTCTCC